TTTATATGAAAATTATAAAAATTAAGATAATAAAAATTCGTCTAATTGATTTATATATAAAAATTATAAAGAATATGGAATTTATTATGTTTTTAGAGTTTATAAAGATTATAAGAATTATGAAAATTATGGAAATTATGAAAATTATGGAAATTATAGAAATTATAGGAATTTCCAATCGTAACATTGCTATATCACTTAAATTCTATTGGTTAAATATTTGTTCGCTTGTTTGTTTGCTCATTTATTTAGTTATTCGTTCATTCGCTTGTTCACTTGTTCGCTCACTTGTTTGCTTATTTCACGTGATTTGATCTTTATTCAATAAGATATGAGATATGTATAATAAAATATTATAACAAAAGATCATTATACAATAATATTTTTAATTATAATATAATTTTCAATTATAATACTATTATCAATTTAATATAATAAACATATAAATAAAAAGTGCAGTTATATATAATTAGTTATAATAATATTTTAATTATATATTTAAATCAAGAATATTCTTTTTATTTCTATTTATTTCTTTTTCATTATTTCTTATTTTTTTATTTTTAGTTTATTATCATTTTAATTTAGATAAATTAATCATATAATTTTCTTGATAAATTTATCATTTCCTATATTTATTTAACTTTTATTTTTACTATTGGTATTTTAGTATAAAACAAGATTATTAATTATAATATAATTAATTTTTCATATAATTAGAAAAGAACTAATAATTTTATAGTAGTAATATAGATTTATTATATTATATATTATACTATAGCTGCATTATACTATATCATACTATATCATATTGCACTATATTATATATTACTGTGTCACTTTATGTCATTGTTACATAAAAATATATATAAATATAAATATTAATAATTAATAAAATTCAAGTTTTCTGAATTTTATTTTAAGTTCTCTCAGTTTAATTTTAAGTTCTTTTGGTTCAATTTTAAGTTTGTTTAATTTAGTTATATTAGTTTAATTTATTTTTGAAGTTAGTAATTTTTGGTTAAATTTTCTTTTAGTTTAGTTTTGTCTTAAATTTAGTTTATTATTTTTATCTTGTCAAAAACATTATTTAATTATAATTTAAAGTAAATTATTATAAACACAATCATTATTATCAATTTGAAATACTTTCATATGCAAAAACTCAAAATAATAATAATATAATTTTTAATTATAATACAATTTTTTTATTATAATACAATTTTCAATTATAATATACTTTTTTATTATTATATATTTTCTTATTATAATATATTTTCTATTATTATAATTTTCTATTATAATATAATTTTTAATTATATTATGATTCCTTATTATAATATGGTATATACCATCTAAAGACATTAAATATTTTATAAAATACAAATATTTGATAACTTTAGATGATATATACCATATAATTTTCTATTATAATATGATTTTCAATTATAATATGATTTCCAATTATAATATTAATAGAAATATGGTTTTTATATTATAATTATTTGGCCAAATTAATTTGATCATAATGAATTTAATTTTATTACATATATAATAATAATAATCATTATAGTAATTTGATTATCTATATAAATAATAATAGAATTTTGATAATTAAACATTTTAATGAGTGTACTGATTACAAATGTTTTTTGTTTTGGTTATTCAAGCTGCACCAACTGAAATTTCCAGCATCTTTATTTGAATTATCAAAGCTAAAGCGTTGTGAACACGTGATACGCGTTTATCACAGTTAAAGGTTGATTTTATCGTTAGGGTTAGAGTGGAGGGCTCCCGACGTTTTTAATTAATGCTTCAAGATAGATCAAAGCATACATTTTACATTTTTGACGTTCGTGCTTCGAATTTGTTTTTCCGGACTTGCAACGCTTTAGCGCATCCACAACTTTGGGCTGGAGTTAAATCGGCTGTGGAATCAAATTCGTTCATATGCCAAATCTGTATATACCAAGATTTTGTGTTGATCACGTGTTAGAAACCGGCTTTATCATTTTACCAACAAATAATCATTTTCCCCTTATTCACTGCGCGCGAACGGGAAACGAATGGTCGCCTACACAAGGGTACCCCCAAACTCTTTTACTATTAATTACTGTTGTTTATTATTATGAATATTTGAATCTTCCAATCAAAAATAGAAATCGGCGCCTATAACTCTGGACCGATTTTTCGGAACGTAATTTCATTACACAAATAAATTATTTCAAAAAAGGCTACAATCATTAATTCCAGCCAATATCTTTCAAAGCTTTACCAAAATTGGACAAGAATCTAAGGAAACTGTTTGTTTGAATTTTTTTGTGATCCTGGACGCTCAATTCTTCTACAACGATCTTATCTTCTTTTTCTTGGGCTTTGATTGATTGATCCTTGCTTTCTTTTCTTGAGCGACCTGCTTTTGTGTGTTGTCTGTTTGGCTTCTCTTTCCCTTGTTCGGTTTCCCACGGTTACGCCTGTCTCGTAAAAAATTAATCCTCTACTACTTACTACCGCTATTTATACTTTGCCCTTATTATAGTGTATAGTGTATATAGTATATATTTCTGGGGGTCACCAGTTGTCCAGTGTGTGTTATACACTCGCATATTTTATATTTACCTAAAAAAGACCTTTTTTCTTGGTAGACATCAAACATAAACGTAATAGAAAAAACTTTTTGTCCTTTAGATTTTCTTCTGATAGACTTTTGCCTTATAATATTTGCACGTTCATTTTCCACACCCAAACTGAATAATTAAAGACCAAGACGCAAGTTACCTCGTCGTCTCGTTCTCCCTATTACTTTTGTTTGGGTGGTTATTCTTAGTATAGAGAAAGCAATACACTTTGTATATGTGTGTGCGTGTGTAGCGATTCGTGCACGACCTCTTGTATTTTTTCTAAACCTGTACGATACTATTTATTTGTGTAGCAACAGAGTCTTCTGTAAAGGTAACCAATAACAAAAATAACTTCCGATAACATTTTCTCAGAATATAGCGCGCAGTGTTTGTTCTGCTCTTTTACGACTTTTAATGACAGTTCGGCCGACCTTTGCTAACTCTCGTTTTTTTATTCGTCATTAAATTTTGCCTTTCTCTACCAATTACAACCACAACTTCACATCAATAATTATTACAATCTATAATTATACAATCTATAATTATAACAATCTATAAGTAAAAAATAATGGAGGTTTGTATTTGATAGTGGGTTGTTCTTTTGCGTTTTTCTTCTTTACTAACGCCTCTTAAATTTCGTATACTTTTAGGAAAAACCAGTGTGGAAGATTGTAAGTATTTTAACAATTTATTTCAATATAAAAAATCAAGAACTATTGTGCAATCGTAAGCCACTTGAAAAAATCAATTTTTTTAATGGTTTTATTTAATATATGATTCTATTCTATGATTTCATCAATCAAATCAAATATTATTTCTCTCATACATCTTGCGGAATTTGTAGTCTAAAAATGGTGCTAGATCAGGAAGCCCGGCAAATAGATCCGTGAATGGAAATACGGAATCTCATAGTGGAAAGAATAGTCCATCACCTTCATCAAATTCGCCGACAACATCGGCCGCAAACGCGCACAACTGGAAAGTAGTTGGAAGTCCACCGACAAGAGTGATTTCTTCTGTTCCGCAAAGTCCTGAAGATTATCAAAATTACCATGTCAAGAAAATCGAAGAAGAAAATCAAGAACAGAAAATGCGTCGATCTTCAAGTACTCCAAGCACCCCGCAACGTCCCATCAATGGTAGTGCTGATTTAGCTTCAAGATTACTTTCTTCCAATTCCCCATCACCACCAACAAAAATACAACAACTGCAAAATGCCGCAAATGGAAATAACGACAAATGGGGTACTTTAGGAGGACTTCAGTGGCCTGGCATTTGGAATGAAAAGAACCAACAACAAAATCCTGGTTCTAGCTCTAAACCGGTCTCACGCTCATCTCCGACCCCTCCTCCCTCCTCGAAAAACGAGGAATCCAATCATAGCAATTCTCCATATGAACGAGAAATCACATCACCACCAGGTATCGGAAAGTTACCTGTACCTGTTCCACCTCATCCACAATATCGACAACATCGAAGTTCCTCATTTTCTGTCGGCCAACATGACCCCGATCTATTTGGATATGCGCCTACATCCCGTCGCGAGAGTGAAGGTGGTCTAAGATTAGCTTATAATCGCCACTCACTTGCCCCCACGATGGAAGAAGATGCCGACGAATTTACACCATATGGTGGCGGTAGATTTCGTGCACGATCAAAATCTTCTGCTGCAGCATATGGAATAATTTCTGGTCATCAGGACATTCCGCATGAAGACTTGAATGATTATCGTCGAGAATCAGAACAATATTCAGATTCTGGAACAATTTGGAACAATCATGTCCCTCAAAATGATGGCCCAGTTCTTCATCACCGTCGCTCTGTTCCTTCCTCATCCGAATTTACTGGGATGTGGGATAGCTTTAATCCATCTGCACCACCTTCGTCCGCTTCTGCTTATTTGACTGTTATGGCTGGAATGCCGGAACGGGAAAAATTGAGACAGCGTCGTTTCTCTTTGCAAGCGCCATCATATGCACCTGATTATCATCTCCTTGACAATTCTCAAGAGTTACGATTACTCAATCATCGGTAAAAATCTAGATATATTTTTAATGATATATTTTTATTTGAATTTCTAATGAAATTTTTTAATTTTACCAGTGCTGCTGCGATGGACCCAGGATACGCTCATCTAGTTCAAAGACGTCATTCAGTCGCTGGCCCTGCGATTTCATTTAATCCAAATTCTCAGGCTCGTTATCTATCTGAAGCATTGGAATCACTCCATTTGAATAGTGTTCAACCTGTATCATACACGAATGATACTAGTTACTCAAGTATCCCCGAAGACATTGACGATTATTTCGATAATAATGAACAACGAACTCGAGCATGGAATGAACTTGGAAAAGGTCTTCCACTTCATGCTATCCCAACTCATGGACCTCTGTACCTCGTGGAATTTAAAGCGGGCCGCACTGATTTATTCTATGTAGCTGAAAATAGTGGTGCAGCAGTCAAAAAAGGTGATCTCGTGATTGTTGAAGCAGATCGAGGAAAAGATTTGGGTAAAATCACCAATGACTCAATTACTCCACATCAAGTTCAACTACTACAACAGCAACAGACAGACGCTATGACTGATGGTCATCGTACGAGTAAAGAAATTCATCCAAAACGCATTTATCGACTTGCTCAACCTGCTGAAATTACGATGCTAGTAACAAAAAATCAGGATGAAGCGAAAGCAATGCTAGTCTGTCAAAATAAAGTTCGTCAAAAGAAACTTCCAATGGAGGTCGTCGATGCCGAATATCAATGGTAAATATTTTATGTGATGATTATTATTACTATAGTGTAGTCGATCAAAATTTATTGATTCTGTTACTTTCTTAGGGATCGACGCAAGCTTACATTCTATTTCATCGCTGAGCGTCGCATTGATTTCCGTGAATTGGTGCGAGATTTATTTAAAATCTACAAAACTCGTATTTGGATGTGCGCTGTTAACCCGTTAATGAATAAAACCAAAAAATGAACATATTTCTTAATATTAATAAATTTTTTTGGAGATCCTTTATATAAATATATAATTAGATAACGGAGGAAGGTTTGAATTCTCGTTTAGACTTATATAATAATTGTCAATATATATATATATATATATCGAATTCCCGGTTCTCTCTTTTTAATATATGATCAACCTCATCATTCTACTTTGAAGAGACGTCAGGGACGACTTTTTGTTTAATATATATTTATAATAGCATTTAGAAAAAAAGAGAATACTACTATTTTATTACTACACTACTATACTTTATTTTCTATACAGTTTGTTGTTTAACTTAGATAACAAACACGCCGTAAATTTATTAAATATTTACTTTTTCTTTGTATCTATATTTTTATTTGACCCTTTTTTTTATTCTTTCATTTTACTTCCCACTTCTCGAGCCGCTTCTTTACATACTTGACACATTTCATCATTACCTTCATAAGATCATCATTATCATGTTCTCTCACTTTGTTGGTCGTCGTGTGGACTTTCTTCCTGAAAGGAAAACGATCCGATTTTCTTTCGACGCGTCACCAACAATTCAAATGACATTTTTTGTTTTATAACAAATTCATAAATATTACAATTACATATTTACTATTACTTACTTTATTATTACTATTTACAAGCTACAACTACTATTATTATTGGTTATTCTCTCTCTCCTGTGTTTCCCAATCAAAACCATTTTTCATCAAGTAGAAATTGTAGAAATATATACATACAAACATACATACATACATTATATATCTATACGTGTATATATAGATGAACGAGAAATTTGGTATATATTTTTTTTATTTTTTTTTTAATTTTTCTTTTAATGGTGATGTTAATAATTGTGCATTGGTTGGGAAACCATGAGAAGAGATGTTTTATTATACATATGGTGATTATGTGAAGTGATATCTTTATCATGAAATTTTCACTCCAAATAATAATAATAATAATAATAATATATTGTTAAATATTATATTTTATTACTTATATGCATAAACCCATAAGTTATGCGATCTTTTAATCATACATTTACACACATAGCCCGCATTAATCTTCTCTTTTTTTTGTATGCGGATATTGAATCCCAATCACACAAATATAAGCATCATTTTTTTGTGTAATAATTTTTTTTAATTTTGTAAAAACTAAATGTCTTAAATTTTTCTAAATGCATTCTCATTTGGTTCGTTTCTTCGATATCATGTGCCTGTCAAATGGATTAATTGCGTTTTTTTTCATGTTTTATTCTGAATTTGATTCAATCAGTTTTGACATCGTTATATATAATTCACTTAAACCGGACTTATAAGTCCAGTGGTGCTGTTTGCTATTTATTATTGACTAATAAAGACAAGTTATCTAATAAGGAAAAAAATTCCTTTGTACTAATAGATTGTCTAATAAAAGCAAGGATTCCAAAAAGAACGCCAATTATCAATATAATATCGAAATCTTCGAATCGATAGGTTTGCTCTGCGCATCTTCTGATTCAAATTCTTGATACTCGTCTGATTCATCATCATCATCATCAACAATAATGGTCTCTCCTAATAAATAGTTTGTTTCATTTCAGGACGATTGACGTGAAATTGTTGCCACATCGATGATTTCCATTTCGAGTTGAATCCGTATTTTCTCTGGAGAACTTCGAGTGTACTAATATTAACGATTCTGATTACACCTAGGAATTATCTAAGTAAGCGTTATCCAGCTCTTCTAGTTATCGCGAAATAAGCGGCTTGAATTTGTCTGTCAATTCCTTGATATGTATTTCAACATATGACTTGAATCTTGAGAGGTAAGCACTATTAAAAGTTGGACGGCGAAAATTGTTCATTAATTTTGTCATTTTTTCAAATTCGCAGAATGTATATTAAAAATTCACAAATTTGAATATACTGGTGCATTCGCTTAGCATAAAATTTATATTTGCTATTATTATTATTATATCATATTTGAGGTAGCATCTTTCATATTATCACGAATAGATTTATCCAGAATTTTGTATATAGCTTTGCACCCTTCTGTCGCTAAATTCATGACACTTTCAAATTTTTCGACGTGAAGTCGTGATTCCATCTAATTAATTTTTTGTGATTAAAGGATTGTTAATAAATAATTGAAAGAATAAGATTAATGAATGAATTAAATCAAAAAGTGAAACCTGTAAGAGAGTCACTTTTCCAGATCTGGGCAGAATCGCAACAGTAAGCTCTGGACTGTCTGAAGATTCTTCGGTGTTATTTAGATCTAAATTTAAGAAATGGAAATTTAGCTGTTCAATGGGTGAATGCGCAAAAATTCCCTCGACCAATATATGACCTACCTAATACAGGTTGTTTATCAAAGCAGCCTGCCGTGCACGCACAAACGTAATCTCTCATAGGTACACCAGCATCTATGAGAGCCATTGTTGCAGCATTAATACATATTTGTACGGTTCCTAAACGAATGGATTTTATATCAATTGCTTGCTGAAATCAGTATCAGTTTGCCTGAGAAATAAAAAGAACGTTACCTCCATCGAATTGTAGTATCTGCAAGTAGATATCAATTTGTGACCTTGGGAACAGATTTGCAAGGATTACCGGCTCAAAAGTTTGTTTGACCGCCGAGGCAATCTCTAAAATACGTCTAAAGAATAAATTTTAAAATCAAAACCATCGGATCTTTTGTAATACATTTATTAATTCGTACTTGTCAGTCTTTGCTCTCCTCTTTCTCTCGCTTGTTGAGAATGGCGCGTAGCTAAGCTCAACGTTAATATTAGCTTTGTCGTGTATTATTTGTGATTTCAATCGAGGCTAATTTGTTATACAAAAGAAGGTGTAATTTTATTTATAAATTTCGGTAAATCGAAAGAAATAATATAAATATACCTCACGAGGCCCATAAACCGCAGCCAAACATTTGGTATTTCCTTGTTCAATATAAGCAGAACCATCCGCTTGGCGTAACACGGACGGTTTGCATTTTATCTTGCGAAGTTCAGTTGCACGACGTCCATCGATACGTAGACCTAAATAAACGAGAAAAAGTATGACACCAAAGACTATATTCCAAAATCAACAACTTTTAATATTATTACCTCCTGGATTTAATAATTCTTGTCGGGACTTGGTTGCATTCGAAAGAGCAAAGATTTATAAAGGAATTATCAAAAAATCCAAATAGCAAAAAATTGTAAAGCTTACCATTGTCAAACTTGAAAGTTGAGAGAAAATCTCGCACTTTTTTTAGTTCTTCATTATTTCCAAAAATAGTTAGCTTATTTTCAGAGTCTAGAATCTAGACCTGATAATCTAAATGTGTTGCTGAAATCCACGATCATGCCACCTTATCACGCCACCTGCAAATACCTTTTGGATCCCGTTATAACAAAGTTTTATAATTTTCAATAGAACGATCTTTCTATCTGTTTCTCGATATATCAATATAAAGAGCCCTGACTGTACTAAACTACATTTAAAATGACTAAAATTACCGAAGTTACTCCTTTGGAACTTAAAGGCGACGCTAAAAAATCAACGTTAATTGCAGCTCGTCCAGTCATTACTGTGCGCGAGGCTCTCAAGATGCTTGCCACTCATAACATTACCTCACTCCCTATATACTCTCATACCTCTAACAAGATAGTCAACATTGTGAATCTCTCTGATATACTAAACTACATTATAAAGGAAGCCGTCGCAGACGAAAAGCATCCTATCGCAATGAACAGTGAAAAAGTAATTAATTTGGATAACACTATTGAGGCGGTAATGACTTTGGACGTTGATAGAGAGAGTTATCGTATTTACGTATCGGACGCTCACGAAGGATTAAAAAAGGTAATGAATGATAGAATCCAGTTTTTAAATTTAATTTTCTTAATTTTATGTATTGTACAATCAAAGACTTTAGAAGCTTTTTCAAAGGGGATTCATCATTCTTTAGTTATCGACTACACCGAAAAGACGCCGCCATATATTTTGACACAAACCGACATTGTACGATATATACATAGTCATCCTGAATCAGTGCCAGGAATTAGCTTTGATGCATCTTTGCAATCTCTGGGATTGGGTCTCCGAGATCATGAAGTTGTTGCTGGGTATGTGAACGAATCTGCGTTGAATGTGTATAGGCGAATGGCCGAGAAAAATTTGATGGGAATCCCGATTTTGGATAGGTTAGTCCATTATATATTTTGTTAATTACAATTTAAATAAGGTATATTATTAATATATTCATAATTGACATAGTGATGATAATCTAATCCTAAGTCTCTCTGTTTCTGATCTCCGTGGCATGAATTATCAATCTATCGATAACCTCATATTACCAGTTCGAGAATTCTTGACGGTATATTTTAATGTCATAATTTTAACTGTCATTCTCAATTAATATTAATCAAGTAATTATCTCTTTACTTGTAAATCAGACGATTCCCAACAACGAAAACGTTTTCCATCCTATAACGGCCACACGTCAAAGCACCCTACGTGAAGTACTTGATCTAATCGTAAAAAATCACATTCATCGAATTTGGATTGTCGATGAATCTCGAAAAATTTTGGACGTGTTGACATTGTCAGACATAATTGGGTTCCTTACAAAACTTTGAAGTCTCCTCTAGGAAGACAAATTCGTTCCCTTTTTATTTATTTTGAGCATGAATCGAACATTATACACAACCTCTTGTACAAATCATTTATTTATTTCTGTTGTAAAAAATTATATTTCATTTACAAACTTAATTATTGCACTTGATTAAAATTTACACTTGGTTAAAATTTATGCATGTAAAATTGCAAGAATGATAATAATGCTATTAAAAATAAACGTTTCTAAAGGTGGAAATCTAAACAAAGTCGACAAATTACACACAACCCGATACACCCATAATATAATCTATAAATATATACAAAAAGAATAATACACCCTCCAAACCCAAACAGTTATCCAGTAACAAAATGTTTTTTGTTTTAATTATTATAAAGTAATACTCACTTAATCCTGCGTGTTAATTGTATGATTCATATGTTGTGGAAGAGGATGCTGTTAATAACGAATTATTATGATTCATATGTTGTGGTAAAGGTTGCTGTTGTTCTGATTGTGTTACAGTCGTCTGGAATGATAACGAGAAATTATTAATACACATGAACAATACGTTTTTAAGATAAGAGTATTTAATAAAAGTATACTTCATCGCATTCCGGCGGTTCAATCCATCCGCTAGGCACCATACCTTTTAGATCAAAAATATTCATATTAATTATTGAATAGAATGAATTCGGTAAGTTTATTAACTTCTATTACTTACATGGGAAAAAGGTTCCAAGCTTTGCTGCCCGATTTATCCAACCTATGAGAGACCATTAATTGAAGCTTCATGATTCAAGAAATTTGAGATAAAAAACTGTTAAATCCTAAAAAATCAATTCTTACCAGGGGTGGATTTTCCTAAAAGTTTCTTACATAACTCACCCGAAAAATGATTACAATTTCTATATAAATAATGCACACCGATTAAGAACAAAGATCTTAAAATTTGTATTTACTAAGAGGAAAATAAACCTTGTCAACAAGTTATACGTGTTCCCTCGATACTCCTGTGACAACTCATTAACAGTCCGTATAATTTCTTCTTTGTCTAGTTCAGTGTGACCCATCTTTATTGATTCTCTATATAATATATAAATTATAAACAAATTTGATTTTGTATCTTTCAGTAGAGTAGAAATGAATACCATTCGACTTACTTGAATGTAACATTAGGAAACCCTGTTTTAGGCTTCGTCACAAACACCCCCGTGTAATCATATACATGTCCGCCGAAATTATATTCTGTCAAACATTTAATAGAGTAAATTTATGAAGTAGTAGTCAACAAAAAAGAATATGTAAGATCTAATTCACCTCTGCCTAATACCTCCACGCCAGAATGAAATACTCCTGAATTATTATCAAAAATCCCTGTTAATTTAAAATAATGATAAAGAAGTAATGACATATTTACAACTGAAATAATGATGTATCATACCTACTCCTATCTTGTAACCAAAATCAGTTACTTTGCCTTTTGGAAGCTACAAGAAAACCATCAATTTCATATAAGACTAGTTTTCAAAAATCTAAAGAAATGCAGAAATTTTCAACGTTTTCAAAATTACCATGTCATATACATTAACGTAAACCTAACATTTTTCAAATTTGAAAAAAGTGAATAAAATATTGAAATAAGATAAAGAGATTTCGAATAAAAGCAGTTAATCTACCGGGATTTTCTTTGGTTTATGGATGAGTGGTTCTCGCGGTGCCACAGGATTACTTGTGTCATTTTGAGAAGTAGCTGATGAAGTTGAGAAAGTTCTTTTATTCTCCGAATTTGTAAAGTTATAAAGGAATGAACGTACATTGCTAGGGAAGTTCATTGGAAAATAATAATTGCTTGCTAGTTGTTAACGAAGAGACACACATGGAAAATAAATCAGACCCAATTCAAATATTTATTTTTGTGTGCAGTTAGTGCATATCGATATCTATAATTCGCGCCTATTTTGTATATTTTAATTATTAAGTGTTCAAAAGCAAATGCATGCGAGCATACATAAATATTTTGCCGCTCAGAATGTGTCAAGATAATGTAATGGAAATTCTTATAAAGTTGATTCAAGAACTTTTGTCAGCTGCTGCGGAGGATTCACCAGCCAATGAATAATTACTATTGTTGTCATGACTAGAAGTTATTGTTTGTTCTTTTGACTCTACGAGCCGATCACTTGGAGGCGGTGAATGATGATAAGTTGCTGCTGACCTTCGTTTACGCTCAGGCGAGAGAGAAAATGACCGTGAACGAGAACGGTGTCTGGTTTTTGATCTCGTTTTTGTAGATTGCCGCTTCTCTTCATCGTCATTGCTGTTTCTCCTGCGGTAGTGATCTGAGCGGGATGGACTACGACTATCTCTTCTAACATCGAGAAAAAAAACCATAATTATAAATGACAATATCATTTATTTCTTGATCAAGTGAAGTAATAACATTCAATCATTCACCTCTGTTGATAAGATCTATCTGGCGATGGATAATATCGTTGCCTTCTTGGTGAACTGTAACTGGCCCAAAAAAATTAGAAAATTTCGATAGAAAAATTTTAAGAGATAATATATCAAATACCAAGGCGAAAGACATTACCGATTATAATAATTTCCTTTTCCTCTCATTTCGAGTGGTGCTATTAAGAAAAAACAAAATCTTTAAACCGGAACTAAAAATTCACAGTAATAAAAACATCTTTTTAATTCGGACTTTTGCGAGATCCACGCGCAAACTCAACCGATAAATCTCGACCATGTACTAAAAACGTCCCATGTCGATAAGCATCTTCGCAATCGCGTTCGTCATAGTATCTTGAGTAGAGAAAAAAGAAAGAAAATCCCGAAAGTCTTGTCAAGGACTGAATTGTAGAAGGGAGAGAAAGAAACACGTGCATATGCGTGTCTTTAGTAATAATTAACTTTATATCTTGGACAATTTTGAAGCTTGTTATCCAATCCGGTAGCAGCAGAAGAAAAAAATTGCTTGCTTCTTGATAAATTTCTTTATTTGATCAAGGATACTCTATATATGCAAAGCCCCTAGGTTCCCTTGTGTAAAAGTCTCTTGGTATGTAAACTGCGAGCGATAAAATGTCAATTATTATTCATTTACGCGTATAGGTTAGAACAGAAATATGTAAATACCATCTTTCAAACGGCCATATTCTCGAAAGAATGGTTCAAGATCATCAATTCTGACCACATTTAATGGAACACGAACAAAAAAACTGTGTTAATGCGCAAGACAAAAAAATTAAATGCAAATTGTAAAGAGCAATTATTTATTTTTCTTTGATACCAACGTTGTACGAGGCGAAAGTCCAGACACAAAAAGTGAACGAGACATTCTGTTATGTCCAGCAAATGAGGTTTATGTTGAAAAAAATAAATTTGAGTCGCGTACAAAAAAATATTGTTGAATGAATCATCATCTACCACATGACGTATTTATTACTATTCAAAATCAAAATCACGCGAGAATTTTTCTGATACTCTATCAATCAAGCTTTTACTTATTCAAAAAAAAAAAAAATGGCAAACTTCAATTCTCGAACACTGTTACAACCAGTCGTTGCTTTCTCGATGGCAATTCTGCTTGGAATATATGTGAACCATTCCATTAACAAAGCAAGACGAGACTCTCGATCACGTCAAACTAATATCTTGTTAGAAAAGAAGGAGAAAGATAAAAGTACCAGCCAACAAAAAACCTCCGAATAATAAAAATGTATTCTTATCATAGCAATTAATGTACGCATTGAATTATTCATTAGAATGATGATTTTTGATCGATTCGCGAAAATGTCATTTCGCGTAATGCACTAATAACATATATGTATCTTGTGAAACCATAGTAGAAAATGCAATAATGTCCCTTTATTAGCACTAATTTATTCGAAAAGAGATATATATATACTCATGTCCGTTATAATTTCTGCAAAGTTCGCTCACGATGCTGTTTTTTTCTCTGGAGAACCTTTTCAGTGCACAATCACGTTTACAAATCCTCTTCCTGCCGCTCATAAGAACAACGATGCTTCAACAACAATGGAAACACGGTACTCCAACGAACTGGGTCCTCCACCACCATTGCCACCACCTAAACTTACAAATGGTTTCTCTGCTCATCACAATGGTTCAAAGAGTGATCCGAAAAATCCGATTAAAAAGAATAGTCCAAAACAAGCGCAGAATGGAAGCCCACTTTCAGTTATTGTCGAGAATCCCTCAACACAAAATAGCCTTGCTGGCGATTTAGGAGATTCTGGGATTTTTGGTTTCAGGAGTTTAGTAAAAAGATCGGCCTCGTTGACTGCAATAGCTTCTTCCACTTTCTCTCTATTGACGGGAATTGAATCGAGCCCTGCGTCTCCGATTTCTCCTCCCTCTACAGCTCCAACCGCGTTTCCCTTACCAATACAAAACCCTACAACCACAAAAACGGAAAAAATGAAAATGGAGATCATTTATGATTCGCAAAGGCAAAATAGTAATATAATTGAATTTTCTATAGATGTGATATTTAGTTTACATTAATATTAACATGTATATTTCAATGTATTTTTCTGAAAGTCAAGCCTCCATCTCATTTAGAAAATTATTCAGACACTGAGACGGAAACAGACGATGATTTTGGATTCATAAATTTACGAAAAGCAGATAGTGCTGGTAGTGATACAATGTCCGTGGATTTAGATACACGAGAATCAACGCCACGCAGTTCAACGGATTTTTATGGACTTGGGAATAATTCAGAAAGAAATTGGGCGGGTGGTGGTGGTAGTCTCTATGGGGGAGGAGATAATAAAGGACAACAGCAGCAAAATAAAAGATATAGCACGATGTCGAAATGTAGCTCGTCACCATCTCTAACACAAAAATATGAAACATTATTATGGAGCTTTGCTCAAATTGTTGGACATTTTATTGTTGATGGTTCGTTAGTTAAATCGGTTGAATTTGAGCCGTTAAAGCATAAGGCAATGTATAGACCTGCTAGTGGGGGAGGTGTCGGTGCTGGTGGAGTGGTTGGAGGTGGAATGCTGGGAATATTTGGGCCTAATTCGAAAAATCAGTCGAATACAAGGGATTTTCAAGAAAGAGCAGGTTTATTTTCCATGAATTTATTATTTACAACAATTATGATTAACATTTGTATTTATTTTATTTTAATTGCTTTTTTATCTTATTAGATAATAAAACAGTGCCAGTTTTCTCAACACCTCCTTCAATTTTGTTTGTTGACTTGCACCTAGCACCAGGAGAAACACGAACTTGTGATTATTATTTTTTCGGAATTACTAAGATCCTTTGATTAATTGAGATTTCGTTGTAATTTATTTTTATTGCTTTACATATTTCAGATACTTATGAGACAAAGTTGCCAAATGATTTGCCTCCTACACATCGTGGGAAAGCCATACGATTTCATTACAACTTAATAATAGGGACGCATCGAGGGGGAATGAATCATCAATCACATATTGTACAGTTACCGTTTCGAGTATTCAATCATGTCTCTGGTAATTCAAAGAAAAAATCTTTCGCTTCTCGATTTATTTCTGTGTGTTTAATTGATTTAGGTTTGGTATATTATATTATATTATATTATATTAGAGGACGGAACAAGACCAGTGTATGATCTCATGAATCCCCTAATAATATATAAAGATGATGCGATAATAACGTGTATGGAAAACAAACAGCCGTTACCTAAACCTGTAAAGAAAAAAAGTAATTTAACTAAAAAAAAAATTGATTTGTGATTAACAAGACAATTCATTAATAGATATATCTATTAATAATAATCATTTCTGTGAATAGAGGACAAACGACGTGCAGAGTTTCTGGACTACGTCGAGAGACTAGTGGAAGCTTCTAATGAAAGAGAAACAAAAACTTTATCTAATAATAATCATGGTCTGGAATCTAGTGAGCAGAAAACTATCAGTAATAAACCTCCACAGCCACCACCATCTCATCATGTTAGTTTGGAGAATCAGCAAAAGTCTTGTGCGAATACTATTGCAATTTTGGCTAAAAATATGCGTAAAGGTGAATTGTATATATTAATGGTTAATATTTATCAGACATGAAGAAACTAATAAATTTTACTTTCACATCTTAGCCAATTACGATATTTGTAAAAATAACGAAAGAGTCGCACAATTGTGCCTTTTGAAGACATCATATCGGTTAGGTGATGTAGTTAACGGGGTCATAAGTTTTGTTAATTTCGTAATACCGAGTTATCAGGTACTTCATATTTCATTGTGAATTATAGTATTTTTTAACGATAGCTCAATAAATTTTCTGCAATAGGTATCTATCACGTTGGAGAATAGCGAACTCGTAGAGCCCACGATTGCAAATCGCCCGCAGCATCAGATTTCGCGATTAACGCGGAAAATACATGGAGAGCATCACGAGTTCTGCTTGAATTCGCGTAGAATAAGTTTTTCTATCACGATACCGACAACCAGTACACCTGATTTTGCTACAACGGGAGGTAAGAAGATGAACATATATTTTCTTTGTTGCGGATCGATCAATGAATCTCATGCACTTTTTCCAATTAAAAAACTCGCCATTTCCCGAATTTCAACAATCACAGTAAATTTGCAATGGGGACTACGTCTTGAATTTATCACCGGTCCAAAGGATAAACCACCACTGCTGGCATTCAACGCAGACGATCGTCATCAATACTATCAAGCTGTGTCAGAAGTTAATGTTGAAACGTTTGATTGTTTTATCCCAATCAAAGTTTATCCTACTTTATATGAATCCGCGCGAGCATTTTCTTCACAACATACTTTTACTGTATCATAGTATAAACTAAATAATTTTCGCTTAATTATTAGCATAATTTTATTATATCATCTAATTTCTCTATCCTTTCTCTTCTGTATTAGATACAAGAATTTATTTAATCTTTTTTAGACTTTTATTTTAGATCGTATGTCTTCACATAATCACACACACTCTCATAGAGAAATCTAATTATTTACAAAAGTATACATTAATTGCTAATATATATTTCGATCCAGTGTGATTTTATTTATACCTTTCACCATTATTATTAGTCTATTTATTATTAATGATTTCAGAATGTATATATACTTATATATATCCCGCCAAATTTTGATCAAAATAAACAATGGCATCTTATGCATACATAGTCTTGCAACTTGGCAATGCTTGGATATGTCTTAAATGACATCACATCATCAATCGTTTATTTCAGATAAAAAAACTTGTTTATAATCAAATGCTTTTTTTTTGGATGCTTACAAATATTAACGTTAAGGTATTGGTGGTGTTGCTATTTACATTCAGTTAGAATCGGGATATTGTTTTTGACTTCATGTCTTGTTAATCACTAGTATAAATAAAGGATTAGTGTCAAAGTTACACAATAATAAAAGCATATTCGGTGTCACAGTGATGACAATCGACGTGACACCAATACCAGCCATACCAGCCAATAGGCATGTCTTGATAATCCGATGAAATGGTATATCACGTGATCTTAGTTCGACGAAAAAACGACCCAGTGGTTCTAAAAATTGTAGCCAAGCCACAACTTATGCGGATCGACTTTGCGCCGATTAAATGTTTTTCCGTGAAGGGGTTAATTAAACCCAAATTCAATTGGCGCTGCCAATTGACATCACTGCATACACGCAGCATCGTATTAGGTAGTAAATTTCATTTTACCTACCTTATGTGGACACTTGCCGTGCAACATTTCTCGGATCTCTTAATGTGTTAATGGCATTTCGCTCGGCCAATTGATTTTTTTCCTTGATCAACTTGGCGTACTCTCTCCCATATGCCAATTGTTGTTCGAAAATTTCAGGCGACGGCTGCATTGACGGTGAGGACGATGATGGAGATGATGATGATGATGATGATAATAAGGTTGATAACATTGACGATGACGAAGGTGCTGATGATGGCAAATCATACGAATCTTGTGCAGCATGTGTGATTGTCGTCAATTTACGTGGATCTATCTTTTTATACACTTCAAGCTTTTCTTTTAAATTTAACAGCAGAGCAGATTCACGATCATTGTTTATTTCATGTTTAAATCCTTTGTACTCTCTTATGAATTCATACTATTATTATTTATTTAAAAAATAATTTTTAATATAATTAAAATTTTTTAAGTAAAAAGACAATAGGAAAAACGCAATACTTACATATAAATCATCAAATGATATTGTATTATTATTATTATTATTATTATTATTATTATCTGGTTCACCCTTTATACTCTTGAGAAGCACACTCCCAGCATTGTCCATTTTCTCCAACGTCTCACCAAAATCTTCATAAGCACCAGATGTGCTCAGAGTTGTCAAATTCGGTGGTGAACGTGGTGGCGTTGGAGGTGTGGATTTCGGTTGTCGTGAATTTTGGACAAATTCTTTGAGATTCTTATGTAGCAAGATACTTTTAAGTGGATTCTTTATTGAGTGATTTTCTTTGACATATCCTGTATCGATTGATTGGTAAAAATCTTTTACAAACAATCGAGTTTTTATTCCCTGCAGTAAAATCATGCCAAACTCTTGTTTAACATGATTCTCTTTCAAATACGGAACTCGTCTGATACAAAATTCAGACTCTCCGTCTTTTGTGCATGGGACAACTTGTTTTCTCTGGCAGTACCCTGGCGCATAAGGAAATTCATCGTCAAAACTATAAGATGAAATGAATAACAAAGAAAAGAATTTTGATAAATTATTGGTGAAAGGGACGAGTGCTTTTCCTCGTGAGAAAATCTCGCTCCTCTTCTTGCAGAGAGAACCATTGCAAGGGCCTTTTTCTCACACAAAATGGTTTTTGGCTTTACCAATGACTTACGTATTAGGATAGTCTGTCTCAACAAATCGGAATAGACGTTCCTATAATTCATTTTTTTAATAGGGTTATCTTATTCGCATAAGAGAATAGCCACTTACTACTGTCTACTTACCATTACAATGATATGAATATTATTGATTGTTATTTGTTATAGATGTATAGATAGAGTGGAAAGACCGTGTTTTAAGAGAGAGGAAAAAAAACAGATTAAGGGTTACATTTCTCCTGTAGTCGCGTTCAATTTATAATGAAATTGGCGCGTGTCAAAAATCAATCATGATGATGATGAGAATGATTTTATCTAGCATAATTTATATTATTCCTTATATATCACACTTGCTATCTCCCTCCCCCCCCCCCTCCCCAACTTACAAAGGTAAAGACAATTGAATAATTTTTCTGGGCACATACGTAATTTTTTGCTTCATTGTTTGAATAATAATAAAAATGATTTTATCGTGCATTATTATTTAGTTTTGTGTGAAACTTGGTTTCTCCATCACTATCATTACAATAGTTGATTAATTATGACTTGATTTGGTGGAGAAAATTTTCACCAAATTATTTCACGTCTTAGTCACAGAAGGTAAATTGACAGACAGATAGTAAAAGGCAGGGTTATTACATTGCATATTCGAGTTTTTTTAAAGAAAGCTCTTTTCGGTAGTGCGACACACGTTAAACAAGAAAGCCCAAATTTTTATTCGTTGGATTAGTAATAATTAGCTCAATCAATAGCGATACTGAGTGGTTCTCGTAAAAATATATTTTCTCGCATATCATCCTCAATTTGTACTAAATCTTTGATTTTCGATCAAACCGTTACATATATAGTTAGTTGATAAGAAGCTGTGATGAAAAGCAAAAATGTGACATGCACGTGATAGAGCGCTCTAAATATTATGGATTTCTTTGAAATGGCGGTTGGTTTGGTGATAAAGAGCATAGTTTAAATCCACGCATCAAAATTAATAATCAGGTGTTTGAAAATATGTGCTTTGTCATGACATAAGCGTACATACCTCTTTTAAAATTCTTCATTCCTCGAGATTATGAAGAAACTGGGTTCTTATAAGTTAAGGAATGAGATTGACTAATAAAAGAAACATCGTCTCACCTTAGCACCCAAACGGTCATCAATTCTATAACTCAATGGTTTTCTTTGTTGTCTAGATGACCTTAATGGTACTTGGCAAGGGGTGGTTGTCTTCATATAGCTAGGTTTTTTTCAAAGGCACCTTTGCGATAGTCTTTCTTTTATCAACATAAATCATTTGAGAATTTACCCAGTCGTAATTCATCTAGATGTCTTTCATCGTATGAGTATGGACCATAGCTTATTTCACGGAAAATTTGTGTTGAGAACCTCGAAATTTGCTGCTCTTGATTGGGTCAATGTTCCTCTCTTACAACACGAGTTCTGCGTGCCTATTTGTAAAATTAAGTCATGGAAAACCCTTATTACAAGTTCTCAAGGTAAATAAATGTACCTTTGAAATGTATCCGCTCATCTCACTACCATTGAAACAGCTTTCCATGAATTTGTTCAGATACACTCCTAAGCCATATAATAAGAATTTCTTCCCGCTATTCTGTACTAATATCTTAACCCACGCCTTAATCAATCAATTCTTTGTGTCGGGTATCGGTTTTCTTTTAAATTTATAAAAACTCCGCGCTGTTGCTGCCTTGGTGCCAAATATTAAGGAGTTTGTTCTGTTCTACAGAGAAATTTTTTCCTTACCGGCCGTACACTGCTGACAGCTTCGCAAAGTTCTGTGAACGTATAACAAACCTTGGGCAGTGCAAAATGGCTTTGGCTGTTTTGACAGAGGGAGGGCTGGCTTAGTAAATAAAATCACGTAATTTATGGCAAACTCATAAATACAAAATTTAATCAAGAAAGGCCTATATTCACTCTATCGATGTTATTAACAACCAAAAAAGGAAAATCGAAAGATGGCTGCGTGATAACCACACATTTTTGGACGTTCTCTCTTTTTACGACTCTTTCTAACAACCTACCCTTGTCGATCTTTAATTTATAAAGAGTATCCTTTTTTAGCGGATCGGCAAGAAGTTATATCTTTATTGAGTCCCTTGAAATGAAATCATTTCGTGCAGAAATCGGAAAACGACTTGCTGTTCGCAAGTCTATAGATGGGTATGAAACCTAATTTACATATATTTCTTGACCTGAAGCAGAATGTACCCTCCACTATTCGAGAGTGGCGTTAATACTGGATTTGTCCAGACTTTATAAAATAAACACACCACTCACGTAGTAGATGCGACCGCCTTATCTCTCAAACGCACTAGTGAACCAACTCTGTCGATAAATCATATAAAAAAGTTAAAAAGGCTAGTGAAAAGAAGGACAAGGATTCATCCATGTCAAAAAAAAAAAAACTTATCAAGGAATTAGAATCACCAAGTTCTTTATCGAGTACGATCGCACAAACCCAAACTATCACGAACTCTGGTAATTTTACCGATTTATACAATGCAATTATTAAGGCTGAAGAACGAATTGAGAGCGCCAATCAAGAAGTTATCAGATGCTTATTATGCATTTGGAAAAGAACTTGAGGATAGGCTTGACAGCTATAAAAAAACTTGGAGATCGTAGGGCTCAGAAAAACTTATCGATGAAGTCGCAAAACAGCTTCCCAATGATCTCTCAAGAAATGTAATTGAGTAAAGAGTAGAAAGGGCAAGGAATTGAGTATAAGATCTAGTGGGGAACAGCATAAGATATCCAATACTGCGCCATAATGCCAAGTAAACGTCAAAATTGTAATTTCACAATTGATATCTAACCAAATCATAGCTTAATCAAAAGCTATTATTTTGTTAAATTATTTTTTTATATTAACTTTCCTCTTTAAGTTATAACACTTAATCAGAGCGTGGCTGAGATTTTTTCTCCTTGCATCGTTTCGTCCTTAAAACTCCCCTCTCACTCTTAAAACTTTTGTTTTCAAACATCATAACCGCCAAAAAGCCTTTTCTGGTTTCGAAGCGCTTTAACAGCTGTTGCATTATTCTTGACAGGTATTCCAACCTCTTTATTAACTGCAAAAGTATATAAAGTATCTTTGAATGTGCATTCGAAAACTGATTAAAAAATTGGTGAACGCAATACTTCGTAAATTTGGGGTCAACGAAACTTTTGCAGACATCATAATATAATTCTGGGGGTAAAAATAAATAAATTTTATTATATATTGGGGCTTTGCTTAAAATTCGGGCTTTACAATAATAAATAATAAATTCGATTTTACAATTAAAAAGACAAAATTTCGTTTTAAAGTTTTTGAGCTTTAATAACTGGTTTTGATAAATCTGTAAAGAAAAAATTTTATCAGACGACAAATTACAGAAATCAACAAAAACAACAAAGGAACTAGATATTTACCTGGGCCGTTGCCTATTGGCACTACCCCAGTTGGATTTATTTGTTTATGACTTTGATAGTAGTGGTTTTTGATGTGGTGCATGTTGACCGTGTCCGCGACTTTTAATATTATTTTTAAAAAGATTTTTGCGTCAAAGAGATTATCAAAATAACAATCAAATAGAGTAATAAATTACTTTTCGGAATTTGATAAATTTGACGAGCCCAACGAAGAAGATTCGGATAGTCTTTTTCGATGGATTTCAGGTTTGCCTTGAAGTGACCGTGATAGACCGGATCAAATCTTTCAAGATGTTTTAGATATTTATAAATAATATTAGTATTTTCTAATTAAATTTTTGACTGTTAATATTTATTAATTATATACCTTATAATAGTGGTCCAAAGTCTAATGTCAGCTTCAGTCAAAACACCACCAACTAAAAACTCATTAGTGGATAATATATCTTCTAATCGATCCAAAGATTCGAAAATCTTGTGAGCGTTTTGTTCATCTACAAGCATCAAAAAATAATAGAAAGAGTTATATTAGAGAATCATCATTAAGGATGAGCAAATTAATTTATTTTTAACACGTGCATGCTTGTTGAGTGGTAGCAAACCCAGCTTTATACACTCCATTATTCACCGTATCATACACCCACTCATTGATCGCGTCGATTTCGGCGCGTAGATGTTCGGGGTAATATGTGATGCCTTTAGTCGCGTCGGGAAGGTAATCATCGAATACTTCGTTAAACATTCGGATAATTTCGCTTGACTCGTTGTTTACTGTCCGATAATTAGATAAATTTTTTTTTAATCTAAAAAAATAACACGTTCATATTCTCATATTCAAAATGAAAGACTTACCGATCGTTCCGAGTTTTTTATCCCATAATGTAGGAACAGTAAATCTAATCAAACGGAAACGAATAAATCGAATTTCAAATTTTTAAAACATTCCAAAAATCAATTTAGAAAAAAAACAAACCTTCCCCCATATTCCGGCTCAGCTTTAAAATACAATTCGCGTAAATACTGCGCATTATTCACAGTATCCGGAATGGCGCCGGGGGTCTGTTCGGGAGTACTGAATTTCCACCCTTTTTCCTGCATCAAGTAATCGACCACGCTTAGTCCGATGATGTCTTCGAGCCCTTTTAACGCTCGGACAATTAGTGTACGATGCGCCTATCATTTATATGATCAATGACTTGTGATTTATATGATCAAAGATTTATGAATAAATATAATAATTTAATTTACCCAAGGACAAGCGTAGCTAACATACAAATGATACCGATTTCTAATTTTTAAAGAAAGTTAATGTAATCATAAAGATCAAGTGCAAAAATATTAATGAAAAATAAAATCAAGTACGGTTCTGGAGGAAATCGAGCATTCGGTTTCTTGCTAATAAAGTCGCGAAAACTTGAAGGTTTTCTACGAAATTCTCCGGTAGGCGAAGCCCAGTTAAGTATACCTTCCTGTGGTTTTTTTGTGCTAGTTTTTTTTTATTTTGATTTTAATGTTGAAAATCAAATTAAAAATTCAAATATTTAATTTGAACATAAAAATTGATTATAAACCCGTCATCACTGTTACTAGAAGCCATCCTTATCAGTTTTTTATTAAATCTATTGAATCGATTTGTTAAGTAATATACACGACTAGAAATCATGTATACAACTAGAAATTTTTGTGCACTCTATATAAATATGGAATTCGAGTTGATTACAAATCTACTATAGATGATCTTTACTATTTGGAAGAAGGATGAACGTGAATTTGTATTTCAAATACAGTATTTCAAATCAACTTTAGTAATAATCGTAGCGATATGCTTATAAATTCCATTAGACAAACAAAGTACAACAGATCGATCAATCTTTGACATGCACAATGTGATTACAAAACGCGTCGCTCATTAGTCGATCACCTCCGTGAAAAATCGACGCGTCTTTTTCACACGTATCAAATTGATTTTATCAAAGAAATTATGTCAACTCTATTTAAAATATAAAAACGCAGCTATGTCCACTTTACTTAATATATGTCAAATAAATAAAAAATCATTGCAATCTCAAAATTTATATTGCTTGAACATTAATAAATTGACTCGTCATCATCACAATTATAATGAAATTAATAAAGAGTTCGACAATAATCTTATAATACAGAAACTCCAATCTTGTTCTTCACCTACATTATTATTATACCACAATCATCATCTATTTCCAAAATCATTATTGTCTTCAATAGCAAAAAGAACCATCCCAATATCAACATCCAAACATCAATCATCAATACAAAATCCTTTGATAAGAAACTCTCTAGTGTCAAAAAATAATCAAAATCAAATAACAAAAATATCATACCGCAATAAAACCACATCACGTGTCCCTTTTGCATCTTTACCGAGTATCTCGGTGAATTTTAAACATATTGACAAGAGCGTGGATGATATAACAACGCTGTTGAGGGAAGGCGTAAAAGATGTGATGAAAAAATACCCGCATTGCGTTGTGTTGACACAAGTTGGATTTCTCTGGGAGGTAATTTCACAGATAATTTTTTCTATGCTATCAATTATAAACTTATTTAATAATTATACTTTTGATTCAATTAGCTTTATTTCCAGCAAGCAACAAAATTTGCACCATTGTTAGATATTAAACTAAGAAAAGCAAAAAAAGATAGAATACCAATTATTGGATTTCCTGTTCATGCATTGGATAAATATCTACAAATACTATTGGATGAAGGTCACTCAGTAGCCCTCTGCGCTGAAACACCGAACAAAAATGCAGAATACGGTGATTTAAAATACGTAAGAAATGTCACTCGCATAATTACCCCTGGAACACTAATCAACGAAAGTTTTCTCGATCACAACAAAAATAATTTCCTACTCGCAATCGCTTTGGACGAGTCCTTACAATCCACTGGACTCTCGTGGATTGATATTTCAACTGGGGAATTCTTTATGCAAAAATCCGTGCTCGCTGCATTGTCTAGCGATATTTCGCGTATTCGCCCAAGTGAAATTTTGCTGAGTGACGTATATAGTGTGTATGCAGAACATAAAATATGGAATTATATTGATCGAGAGGAATATTCGGTTTCTTTTGAACCGGGGAATACCTTTGATGCAAAGACCACCTCGTGGGAGGCTGATTTAAAATCCGAGGGAATTGAGTTTCATGAAGTGTTTTCGCCGATTGAAATGAAAGCTAGTGCTGGATTGTTCAAGTACATAGAGAAAAATTTGTTTGGACGTAAAATTAGAGTGGAGCATCCGATTAGGGTTAATCCGGAGGATACAATGATCATAGATGCTACTGCTTTGTCTTCTTTGGAAATTACTGCTTCAATGCGCGATAATCGTAGAAAAGGGAGCTTATTACACGCTATTCAACGAACTAAAACTGCCTCTGGATCTCGCATTTTAAACCGTTGGCTAAGTGAGAATTCTTTCAAATAAATGATATCGTAATAGTATTCACATGAAATAATTAATGATACTAATTTTATTGTAAACACGATATAAAGGATTACCATCAACATCACTAGACGTAATCACAATTCGCCAAGACTTGGTTGAATATTTCTACAATAACACACACTTAACCAGTGATATACGCGTTTTCTTGGAAGATTGCAGTGACGCACAAAGGATGACTCAACGATTATCACTAGATTATGGGGGAATTGAAGATTATATAAAGTTAAAACGTACCATCAAATCGACAAACGAAATTGAAAAACGTATACGAGAGGAATTACTAACGACTCCGAATAATTCCATGGAAACTATTATCGATCGATTACATTCACAAGATGATTTGATGAGTAAAATTGATGGTGCATTTAATGAAGAAGCGTTGATTAAGATGCAAGAAGCTAATATCGAGTTGAATATTCAGTTGAATCCTAATGCTATTAATAATAACGTGGATGATATTGATAATGAGAATGATGATGATAATAATAATAATAATATTATTAATACTAATAATACTCACAATATTAATAATAATAACGATAACGAGAATAAAGAGACAACGCTGTCACCACGTTATGGTAGAAGGAAAATCAATAAGAATAAATCATTTCCACAAGCATCACCACCGCCACAAGACTCATTTTTCGACGATAAAAATACAGATAATTGGTATATAAAGAAAAAGTAAGAAATGAAATTTATTCTCTGAAATTAAAAGTCATCGTAGGCATGAATAATTTTTATAAATCATTAACATCTTATTTTCTTTAGTTACTCGCCAGCATTAAAAAGGTTGCACGTGAAATTAGATAGTTTGTATTCCGATAAAGTTTCGCTTATAGAGCAATTGAAGAAAGAATTGAGTAAGTCTTTTTCCATTATTGGATTCAAATAAAATAATAAAATCACTCACTAACCATATTCAATTCAAACCAAAAAATGCATTTATTTAAGATGTAACAAAAATTCTCTTATCACACACCCCTCATGGATTTGTTGGGACTGTTAGTTGCAAAGAGGAAAATCAATTTCAAAAAGTTTCGTCCCTTTTACCCTTCTCATTATCAGAATTGAAACCTACTTTTGTGAAAAGAGATCGAAGATATGCGATGTATTTTATTCCGGTATATTTTTTTGGATTATTTCATGATGTAAAAGAATATAATGTTTGAGACTAATTTTTATTGTGAAGCAATGGAATCAACTGGGTGGAGAAATTGAGGATATTAAAACTGAGATACGCAAATTCGAGAATAGAGTTTTTGCAGATTTACGAAGTAAGGTAGGAAATTCTTCGATTTGTTTCACTACCCAACTGGATTTATATTTTGAACCTTTATAATGAATTCAATCTAAAAAAAAATAAAAAAAGGTGATACAAAACTGGAATCTTACGGTTCAAAATTCATGTATAGTTGACGAATTGGACGTGACTTCGTCATTGGCCATATTAGCAAAGGAAATGAATTTTGTACGGCCTTCGATTAATAACGGGTATTGATTGATTCGTATTTTATTTTCTAAGTAATTGGAATAGAAATTATATCCTTATTATTTTTGTTTCATTGAATATTAATTCAGAACATCTCTTAAAATTATCGGTGGTCGCCATCCAATCGTCGAAACATCTCTCAAAGAAAAGAACATCTTTTATTCCAAAAATGATTGTCATATTGGTGGCGATGATAAAGAACGGGTGTGGTTGATTACCGGGTAAAAACAATGAGTTTTTTGTCTTCCATTTGTGTGTGTGTGTGTGTGTGTGTTTTAATTAAATAAGCCTCGTTACATGTAAATTAGTCCAAACATGGGTGGTAAAAGCACGTTTCTACGACAAAATGCTGTGATCTCGGTATTGGCTCAGATCGGATCTTTTGTCCCTGCCGATTATGCAGAAATTGGAATTGTTGACCAGATATTTAGCAGAGTAAATTTTCTTTTAATATTTGATGATTGTTATATTTACTTTTCTAATAGTCTTATTTTATCTGTTAGGTTGGGGCTTCCGATAGTTTATTCCAGAATCAATCAACCTTCATGGTAGAAATGATTGAAACAGCTCACGTATTACAAAATGCGACACCACGATCTTTTGCAAGTATCAAACCATCCCCCAAAAAGCCACGTTTAACTATGCTTGAATAAAGCTTTCATCGATTATTCTTTTAATACAGGTAATAATGGACGAAGTAGGTCGAGGAACCACAACATTGGACGGGATCGCAATATCTTTTGCCTCGTTATATCACCTACACTATCAGAATCGATGTCGAACATTATTCGCCACGCATTTTCACGAGCTGTCTGAAATGATACGGGATTTCGAGAACGCTGCTTGTTATTGTACTGGCGTTAAGAGTAATGAGGTATTATTTAGTCTTTGATTGCTTATTTTAATTTGATTATTTTATTTGAATATTATATTATTTTTTGTAGGATGGTAGTTTTCATTATATGCATCAATTGAAAAAAGGAGTTAACAGAAATTCATGTGCTTTGAAGGTCGCACAATTAGCAGGTAAATTGTATATTTTCTTCTATTTATATGATATATACTCGATGAATCTTTAATTTCCTCGATATACAATTTGTTCGATGTTAGGAATGCCATCGTCAGTATTAAAAGTGGCAGAACATACACTGAAATACCTAGAACAACAATACAAACCAACAGTTATCAATATGGACTTTTTGAAGGAACTGGAAATTGATAACAAAAATGACAAGACAGATAGTGATGAGACAATGACAGAGAAAAAGAAGGCAAATAAAAGTGACAAGACAGATAATGATGAGAAAGTGACAAAGAAAAAGAAGGCAACGGCAAAGTCGCAACGTAAGCATCAACAAACATTAATAAGTATTCCTTCATTCATTCAATCGTGATCTATTCATATTAAAATTCTAAATCCTAAAATTAGAAAAACTCGCGGATGATGATCTCAGTAGCCGGAGTAATATCAAAAGTACAGCTAGTAGTAGAAAGAAACTCAAGAGTCTACCTTCAAGCCTTGGTATAGCGATATCAGCAACGATTTAATACTTTAAAACTTGTATATAAGAAAATACCGTTCTCTGTGTACATGTATGGCAATCGTTATACTTTTGAATAAACAGACATATAGTATCTAACATCATACGTGATTCTAATTGCTAAGCTACTCATTTATCCTCCAGAAACAGGTGGAATAATAGCAACCTCATCATCTGGTCTAATCTTCACTTCATTCTCATTTTTCTCTACGTACACCATATTCACCGCATACATGCTATGCTCTAATATAGGTTTTAGTCCTGGATACCGTGTCAGTAGAAGGTTTGTAAGTTGATTGATCGAAAGTGAATTCGAATCGAGTGAATCCGAGTTGGAATTGGGATCGGACGAAATTGGAATTTTTTCAGAAGATACTTTTGTAATGTCTCGCGCTGAGGCAAAGTAAAGCATTGTAAAAGTTTGCTATTGTGGTCATTGAATATTTTGTGTTATAAAAATACATAACGAAAATTATTCTCAATTAATTACTTTATCATCGTTGTTGTTAATATTATCACCGTTGGTTGACATTTTCCTAGAATAGATACACTCTTGGTTAGCGTGAAAAATCTCATTTAATACTTTCCCATTTTAATCTCGTTTAATATTTAATCACATTTTAATAAATAGTCATGAGGTGTGATTGGTTTTTGCAGATTTCAAAATGTTAGCAAAAGACAATGAATTTCAATATTGGGCACCATCATTATTTCTTGCCGTTGATGATAAAAATAAAAAGTGTTCCAATCAAATAGAATATCGAGGATTAGTCGATCAGAGACCATATAGTTTGATTATTCTAAATCAGCCAATATCGATTGGGATATTGGATCTTGTGTGGAATAATGGTATTATTGTTATTATTATTAGGGTCACGTTTAGAAATGATTTTTCCTGTATTAGTTATTCTTAAATGAAAAAATCGAAGCTATCTTAAGGATATGTGCAGATGGAGGCGCGAATCGGTTGTACGATGTTGTTAAGGGGACTGAAAACGAGACCAGGTTTGCATGTTTGACAAAAAACCGCAGAATTTCTTTTGTTGATATTTCATCAAATTTCTGTGTATTATTTTGAAGGTATATCCCTAATTATATATGCGGAGATATAGATTCTTTGCGCCCTGATGTGGCAGAATATTATAAATCAAAGGTGATAAATTTATTTTTAATTGATCTAGAATTTTAGATGAATATAATAACATTCTGTCAATTTTGAAGGGCACAGAGATCAAAGGAAATCCACAAGATCAAGATACAACTGATTTCCAGAAATGTATCGCTTTATTGTCTCTCAAAGAACAAGAAGCATCATTGGAGGTAAATTCAAGCGGGATTATTTTGTATATTTCGAAAGTAAAATATTTATCAATCTTTTTATTATGATCAGTACGATATCATAGGATACGGTGCACTAGGCGGAAGATTTGATCATACAATGTCCAGTATCCATATTTTACATCAACAGATTAATAATGACGATATTAAAAAGAAGGAACAACAAAAAAGAATCTATTTGTTGACTGATCATGATATTACAATGCTACTTAGCGAAGGCAAACATAATGTTTTTTGCGATCTTTCAATTTTGGGACCTACTTGCGGTATATTACCTATTGGCGTATCACAGGCTGTGATCACTACGACTGGGTTAAGATGGAATCTGAGTAAGTGTTTTTTTTTATTACGTTTTTTTTTTTGTGAATCTTCTCACAAATATTCTAAATTCCAAAATCGAATATTCAATAGCTAAAGCAACCACTTCATTTGGCAACATGATAAGCACATCAAATCAATTCAACGGTGAAATAGTTACCATAGAAACAGATTCTCCCGTTATTTGGACTGTAGAATTGAGAAAATGATGTCTGTTTTTTTCTTCTGTCGAATATTCAATAAATAGACAAACTGACGAGAAATATGATTATTGTGGTTATTGTGTTGTAATGATCAATGTTAAAGATTTTTTCAAAAATGAGAATAAAATTATCGATTGAACAAATTGTAAATTTCGGTACATGTACATGAATAGTACTTTCATTAATAATGGTAAAGAGGCGATTATTGCTTATAACTAATGGAAGTATTTTTCATTCGGATCTTAGCAATTCTACGTTTTTCTATTAGATAAATACGAATGGATCAATCAATCAAGATGTCATCAAATTAAATGAAAAAAGATAAAAAAAAATTGACTAGGTACCACTTCTCCTTGTTTTCCCGTTTCCCATTTCGCATATTTTAGTCCTTGTTCGTCACGACGTTGCGCAAGCACGCGTTGCTCCTCTTTTAAAGCATTCCGAACGGCTCTGGCGCATATTTGTGTGTATTGGAGATAACTATTGGTCATTTTTGGTTTATTTTTAACAGTAATGAATTATTATTATGAAAAAACATTATGATAAACTGAAGGTTTTCGTGGATATACACCTGATACCTGCGGTTTTCCATGCGAAAGCCATTATTACAGTTATTATATAATTTTTCGGTACGAGATATGGATAATTGGATGTGATATTTGTATTTGATTTATTAATACATGTACACAAAAACATGCTAGACATTTCGGAAATCGATTGACCTCCATTATTCCCGCATTACTCTTGGTTCTACTTTTGTTATCCAAGCTGAAATGACGAAAACTTTACTTATAGACGTGTTGCTTCTATGTATATTGGGTCTTTTAACGTTTAATGCCCAAGGTAATTTACCTTATAACCTGTTAATTTTGTTGTCTCCAGAGCAATTTTCATTAACAATGATGTCTCCGCCAAGAAAATGAGCTACAATTAAAGCAAAACTGCATTTATATTATTAACAACAGCAAAAATAGAATCCTATCGTCCCGTAGTCTTATGGCATGGCATGGGTGACAGTTGCTGTAACCCAGAAAGCACGGTTAAATTCAAAGAGCTATTAGAACAAGTACTTCCTGGTGTTTACGTGCATTCTATAATGCTGGGTAAAAATGAAGAGGAGGATAAGAGAGCGGGATTTTTTGGAAATGTCAATAGACAGGTATGGAAATAATAATATTCAAGTTTCATATTGATTCAAACGGGCGTCTTACTTTGATATTAATTAGGTAGCTGAGGTTTGTAAAGCATTACAGGCTGATGAACAATTAAAATACGGATTCAATGCTATTGGATTTTCTCAGGTTAGTTGAACCTTTTTTTTTCTCCTATTTTGCTATTTGTATTGTGATTTAAATGATGCATCTTATCTTCCTTTAGGGTGGCCTGTTTTTCCGGTAATAATTAGCTTTTTCTGATTACTGAATAATTTTATTATTTATTTATTTATTTATTAATACTCTACAGCGCATATGTACAACGATGTAATGATCCACCCGTCCATAACTTAATTACATTTGGTTCACCACATCAAGGTATCATCAACTATAGTGCAATCTCTATATTGTTAGATTTTATATTTTTAATGTTGATTTAATTTCCCAGGTGTCTCTGATATTCCTGGATGCGAAAAAAGCGATGGCTGGTGTCGATTAATGCGCAGCATAGTAAGACGGGGAGCATACTCCGGTTACGTACGCTCTCGCGTAATACCTGCGCAATATTATAAAGATCCGACAAGACTAGAACTCTACAAAAAGCTAAACATATTTTTACCCGACATTAATAATGAATTGGAAGTCAAGAATGCGACGTACAGAGCAAATTTAGCATCTTTGAATACACTTGTTTTGATCCAATTTACGAAGGATGTTACATTAAAGCCAAGAGATAGTGCGGTAAGTAATTAATCAAATTTGAACATACAATAAACATACAATAGACTTTCATTTAATGCGGGATACATCTTTTCTTTCTATTAGTGGTTTTCATTCTACGGCGAGGATGGTGAACTACAAGATCTTTATGATACACCATTATATATTGAAGATTGGATTGGTCTGAGACAATTGGACGAAGAGGAAAAACTAGAGTTCAAAGAGATAGAAGGAGTTCATGTAGGTTTTACTGTTTATTATAGCAATCTTGGGTTATTATGTATAGAGATGACCGAACTAATATTATTATAATTAGATGGAAATCGATGAAGATTTTTTTGTCGAAGAGGTCATTGAGCCTTATCTTCAAGGCCCCGAATCTGCTAAAATGCACTTAATCAAGCAGAGCCATAAAAACAGAGTTTTTGCGAAATTTTGGAACTCACTTAAAAATTTGTTTATCAAGTTTTTTTTGAAGTAATTGGAGGGTAGATTTGTGTGTACAGTCCCCCGGAAAGTAATGGCCGGCGGTTTTTTTATCATATTTTTTTTTTACATAATTTAATTTAAATTTTATTTTTATAATATATACAAGTAAGACTTTATATCCTAGAAATAATATAATTTTTTTAATATTAATGTATTTTATGGTATTTTTTGGAATTAACGATTTAGATCGGGGAACAATTTTTTTAATGGGCAAAAACTGAGCTAATAATGTAGTTTTCAAATTATTGAGCCTTCTTTAGTGGCAACTCTTAACCGAACTGTTTGTAAAAAACCTTTAATATAATACTCAAAAACCAATTTCTTAACAGAGTTTTTGAGATAAAAAAGTGTTCAGCCGATCGATTTATAGTTACCATAAAAATTTCAGAAAAGTAGAGTTTCTGTGATTTTTAATGTTAATTTAAACATCAATCGGCCATTACTTCCGGGGGGGGACTGTAATATAAAGGGTGTAATTTTTTTGTAGTACACACATTATCAGGCGTGTATTTGGTAAATTATTCATGATTTGTGGAATTCTAGGTCCAGATTACTTTATTTTCGCAGATTTTCACTCGTTTATATACGAAGCTGTTTGCATCAATATATGAATTAAACTCAAAAAGGTAGATCAATTTTCAAAAGGGTTTATGAATATGAACTATTAATAGTAATAATAGTAAGAATGATAATAACGTTCACCGTGATTAATGCAAAGCAAGAATATAAATACAGCCAAATCGATGGATCTCCTCATGATCTATATATTTATATATAAACGTTATTTAAAGTAACAATAATTCACAAGAGAAATTACACACAGAAGAATAATAACTTGCCCATTTTCCCATTATTTATATCAGAAAAAAGACGATGACGATATGGTGAAGAAGACTCATCCCGTTAAATCGTTTATTGAATACAGAGTTTATGTATGAATCACATCGTGTTAGAAAAACAATCAATCAGAAGCCCTACCCCCAATGCTAAATCTGGTTTTATTTTATTGATTCACTGTTCACCACTTAAATCCCTTCTTCCGCCCTTTCTTTCCGATCTTATTAGCCTTGCGGTTATTATGACGACGCGTCAACTTACTGATAATATCGATATCCATGGCTGTGTTATATGTATATACAATATTATTATAGTATTATAGAATAGTAATAAAAGTGGTTATATAGAAGATATCACTTTTCGTAGAGGAGAAATTCTTCAACATCAATTAATGCACAAAGAAGTTCCAAAGAACTACTAGCAGTGTTCGTCACGGATATCTCATCTGGGTCTAATAGACCCAGAACAGAGTATAATAACGAACCTGTTAATTTTTTGCTTTTCTTCGAGGACGACGTTGTTTTTTTCGAATCGGCCATTTCGACCTCAATTATCGGAGACGAAGTTGAAGTAGGTTCGTTGTTGAAGCTGCGGTTGTTATTGATCAAGGCATCAGCAGCCACCACTGTTGTTAAAGGGTCTGAAGTTCCGTCTAATGCTGAGGTTTGAGGAATTTGTTGTTCTTCTTCGGCATGCATATTGCCGGCTGCTGCGGCCTGTCTTGCTGCTAATCGCTTTATTCGTGCGTCTTCAACAGGTGCGAAAATAGTTTGACGTTTAATGGCACGAAAATGACGTTTTGATTTATTACGAAGACCTTTTGCCATTTTTTATAATTTGGAATGAATAAATATTTTTGTTTGTTCGGTTGTAATTTCAAGTACGTATGAAAGTTTAAACGTATTTGCAGGTAAGAAAGAAAAGTTCCAAAATCAAATTTCTGGTCATCATGCTGATTATATAGGCTGCATGAATGACTGTGCCATAATTAGACCCAATGATTTTCTTATCATATATCTACAATAAGAAATTTTACTTTATTTTTAGAAAAACGGAATTACCTTCCGTTAAACATGATGATATTGCTGATAAGACTATGAGTTGTAGGGATTGTAAATTGTGTAGAGGGAAATTGTAAAGGAAGAGAAAATATTTGTGTTGAAGATTTTTTTGTAATGTTATCCCTTTACGTAAATACAACTCACTCTTGATATAGTGAAGAATCATTAATAAACTTTCACTTAATATATGTAGTTAAGTTATTTAATATTCTCTCAATATAGGCTATAGTGAAGATTTTTTCTCTTATCCTGATGTCTTCACTATATCGAGAGTAAGAATATTCCTTTGCATATCGATCTCGATACATATCCAAAGATTTCAAGATTATTACTAACACAAATTTCATATGTGACTGTTGTTTCAGCAGTGCATTTTTTGATATGTCAAAGACAGCACTTTCTTTGTTATGCAGCAAAAATCTTTAAAGCCGAAATTTTTGTCTTTCTTGCATTCTTCGACAAATAAAAAATATTGCACCATCGAATTGACCAATAAAGAGTTGCATCACTTCGTTTTTCTTAAAATAATGCATTCTCTTATTAGTCCAGTTGTCATAAATGTCACTTATGTTTTCATCTTCTTTGATTACTTTGCTAATATTGTATCTGGAACGTGAATCATTAACACTCTTGGTTTCGTAAGTAAAAATTCTCAAATTGTTGTTATAATATTCATCATTTTCACCCAATAGTATCTTCAAATTAGCATTCATATTCATAGTTCTATAACGAAGTCCAAGGCTGACCAAAAAATATTCGGATACCAGAAGGCAAAATTTCTTCGCTATACCAAAATATGCGTTATATACAAATTCGTAGAGCACTTTGTACACTAATTGTAGTAATTTCGTTATATGACCATTCCTTTTACTCTTTAAAGCAATCACCACTTTCATAATGTATTTTTGTGTGCTTTGTGCATGTCTCGTTGATTATATAAAAACATCATGATTTTCTAGTGTTATACATAAATCCACCACACTGTTTTATATTGAAAAAAAGTTTGAACATGTTAAAAATTGCCTTTTATATCATCATCTGTCAAGCCATATGAATTTCACAAAAGAGTCTTGGTAGTTTAGATAAAGTAATTTTTGGGTTTCAGAACTTGTCTTGATAACAATCAATAACCAGATCACTATGGTGCATAAAATCTAAAGTCATCAAATGTTTGTATTTTATAAAATGGATAAACTTCTTTACTAAAAAGTAAATACAGAATTTAATTCATGAATATGCTCAGAAAAGACTTATTCTATCATATTCACAGATTAAATTTTGTATTCACTTATTAATAAAGAAGTTAATCCATTTTATAAAATACAAATATTTGATGATTTTGGATTTTATGCACCATGTTTTTGAAATATTATTATAAGTTTGCTCACTAATTAAAAAATTAGCTTGCAAATCTAAATAATAAAACAAAATAATAAAAAAATATATTTAAGTTTTATATCAATTTTATTAAAGTTGTTATAATTTGAAGAAAAATAAAATTATAAAAGAAATATAGAAGAATAATAAAAGAATAAAGTTTAAAGAAAGAAAAATATTATAATAAATAAGAAAAATATTAAATAAGCATAATTATTTAATTAGTTTTTGAACAGTGAATTTTAATATTATCACTGATCCAAGATAATAAACATATAAATAAAAAGCACAGTTATATAAAATTAGTCACAATAACATTTTAATTATGTATTAAATTAAGAATATTCTTTTTCTTCTATTTCTTTTTTTTCTTATTATTTTTTATCTTTTTATTTTTAGTCTATTATTATCTTAAATTAGAAACATTAATCATATAATTCTCTTAATATATTTATTATTTTTTATATTTATCTAATTTCTAATTTCTATTTTTGTTATTGGTATTTTAGTATAGAACAAGATTATTAATTATAATATAATTAACTTTTCATGTAATTAGAAAAGAATTAATAAGTTTATAGTAATAATATAAATTTATTATATTATATGCTGTATTGTAGATATATTATAATACATTATATTGTACATTATTGTATCACACTGTATTATTATAATACAAAAATATGTATAAATACAAGTATTATTAATTAATAAAATTTAAGTTCTTTCAGTTTGATTTTAAGTTTTCTTATTTTATTTGAAGCTAATTTAAGTTTTTTGATTCAGTTTCAAGTTCTTTTAATTTAGTTATATTAATTTAATTTATTTTTGAAGTTAAAAATAGTTTTTAATCTCATTTTAAATTTAGTTTTATTATTTTTATCTTATTACAAATATTATTTAATTATAAATTCAAAATAAATTACTGTAAACATAATTATTATTATCATTTTGAAATATTTACATATATAAAGCTCAAAATGATAACAATATAATAATTCAGATTATATATATTTTATATAAGAAAACATATATAAAACTATTTAGAAATACTTTTTAATTTAAAGAATTTATAGAGGTTTAAATAATATTTAGTATTTATAAAATAAAATTTTTTATTATATATTTTTAATTTGGTATTTTAGAATTTGGTTATTTTAGTATATTATAAATATATATTTTAATAAATATATTTAATACTAAAATAAATAATATTATTATACAACAATTTGAAAAGTGAAATAATAATTTGTAAAAGTTTTTAACAAATTTTTAATAATATTTAACTAAATCAAGAAAAAATTAAAGTTTTTTTTTATTATTTATAATTAAAAAAATTAATAATTTTTTGTGCAATTAATAATATTACAAATAAAATTTTAAAAATATAATTATATAAATATAAATATAAATAATTAAAATAAATATTTGTTATATCAAAATAATTTAAATTTAGTTATAACTAGAAATAGTATAGCAAGTGTGTAATGCTCATTTATTACCTGTTATAATATATTATAATACAAGAATTTTATAAGCTACAACTAATTGCAACTAGATAATATTTTATTTGTTATTATAGTCAAATCTCTCTATAATCATATTTATTTATAGTTATATCTCTTTATAGTTACTTTATTTTGCTTTTCTATTTATATTGTTACTATTTTGAGCTTTTGCGTATGAAAGTATTTCAAAATGACAATAGTGACTGTATTCACAGCAATTTACTTTGAA